TCAAAAAAATCACACAAAGGTCTCAAGAGACACTTTCGGAGATCCTGAAGGAAGTCCGACTGCTTTCCCAGATGAACCATCCGGCTGTTGTCAGATACTACAATACATGGCTGGAGGAGGTGCCGGACTACGCGGAAACAGAAGGCGATACTTCAACAGAAGGGGGCGCCACGGACGTTACAGACAGCTCTCAGATGACGATATCACACGGCATAAATATTGAATTTGCTGAGAGCAAAAGCAGAGGTCTCGATTTCATGTCCTCCAGTGGTCACCCGGGCATTGAGTACGATTACAGCTCGAGTGAAGAAGAGGATGACGATGAAGATGAAGACGATGAAGAAGACGAATCCGACAATGACTCCAATGACGATGCTGCCACTGTAAGCGGCAAGAACCACCTTGGTGTCACAGGACGGCGTCCTCGACGGGGAAGTGCTCGCCCATACAAGACCGTGATGTATATCTCCATGGAGTATTGCGAGAAGCGGGTAGGTTCCCATTATGCCAAAACCAAAACCCGAATGACAGTACTGACTATTCTATAGACACTGCGCGACTTGATTTCTCGGAACCTGTCTAAGGAAACAGCTGAGATCTGGCGCTTGTTCCGCCAAATTCTAGAAGGGCTCTGCCACATTCACAGCCTCAACATCGTTCATCGTGACCTCAAGCCCGAGAATATCTTCATCTCTTCTGGACCTGACGGCCTGGATAACGTGAAGATCGGCGATTTTGGGCTGGCCACTAGCGGACAGTTGGCGATAGACAGGTCAACAGCAAGCTTGGATGCAAGCGACATGACCAGGAGCATTGGCACAGCAGTTTACGTCGCCCCTGAGGTCCGGACGGGTGGCAGCGGCTCTTATACATCAAAGGTGGATGTAGGTTTTTCCCATCCTCCTTGCAAGACTAGACTGACATCATCCCTAGATGTATTCCTTGGGCGTGATTTTCTTCGAGATGTCGTACCCTCCCATGCTTGGAATGCAGCGCGCCATGGTCCTTGAGCAGCTGCGCCAATCCCCTCCCATTTTGCCCGCTGACTTCAAACATATGGATAAAAACCATCTCGAGGTCCTGTTGTCACTGCTGACTCACAACCCTAAAGAGCGCCCTTCGAGCTCAGAGCTTATGAAGAGTGGCAAGCTTCCGATTCAGATGGAAAGCGAGGCGATACGGCGTGCGATTGCTGGATTGTCGGATCCCAACTCACCTTACTACCAAAAGATGCTCGAAACTTTGTTCTCTAGGCCGATCGAACAAGCAAAGGATTACGCCTGGGACATGTCTTCATCTGGGCCATCACCCCAAGAACTCTTGCGACAGTTCATCGTCAAGGACACCTTGATATCCATCTTCCGGCGACACGGTGCGGTTGAGGCTCCTACCGTCTGTCTGTATCCCAGCTCTTCGCATTATGGCCAGAACGCGGTCCATCTCCTCGACCAGAATGGTACGGTTCTTCAGTTGCCCTTCGATCTCATGATGGGCCATGCTCGCTCTCTCGCAAGGATCACAAACAGCCCCGTTGTTCAGAAGTCATACTCCTTTGGCAACATCTTCCGTGATCGTCACGGCGGTGGTCAGCCTGATGTGTACGGAGAAGTCGACTTTGACATTGTCACTTCAGATGCCTTGGACCTTGCTTTGAAAGAGGCCGAGGTCATCAAAGTTCTAGACGAGATCGCGACTGCGTTCCCTACCGTGTCGTCTACTCCCATCTGCTTCCAGCTTGGGCATTCGGACCTCTTGAATCTTATCTTCGAGTACTGCGGCGTGGAAGTGGGCACACGCAGGGCTGCTGCTGAGGTCCTCAGTAAGCTCAACATTCGCAATTTCACTTGGCAAAAGGTGCGTGGAGAGCTTCGATCACCCATGGTGGGTATATCGGCAACCAGCGTAGACGAGCTGCAGAGATTTGACTTTAGAGGTAAGTGTGACTTTACACAACGAAAATACTTACACCATCAACTAACCACTTGTTTTAGATACCCCGAGTAAGGCCATCTCGAAGATCAAGCTTCTTTTCGAAGGAACGGAATACTACCAACAGGCTTCATCAACGTTAGCCCATCTCAAGGAAGTGTACGAATACACCAAGCGGTTCGGAGTACAAAACAAAATCTACATTGCCCCTTTAAGCAGCATCAACGAAGCCTTCTTCCGCGGTGGCATCCTCTTTTCTTGTCTGTACGACAAAAAGGTCAAGGATGTCTTTGCCGCCGGTGGCCGCTACGACAGCTTGATTAAGGAACATCGTCCCAAGATCGGCAACCGGTTCGAAGAGCGCCATGCGGTCGGCTTCAGCTTGAACTGGGAGAAGCAGCTCGCCAAGCCCGTCCCGAAGGCCACCGGCAAAACATTCCTCAAGAAGGCGGCTGAAGAAGAGAGTCAAGGCCTCTTCAACATCAAACGCTGCGACGTCCTTGTCGCTTCCTTCGACCCGGAAGTCCTCCGCTCCTCTGGTATTGAGCTCGTCCAGACGCTTTGGGCGCACTCCATCTCGGCCGAGCTGGCCCGTGACGCCCGCTCGCCCGAAGACCTGCTCTCCAAGTACCGCGACGAGTCGTACTTGTGGGTCGTCATCATCAAGCAGGACAACATGCTCAAGATCAAGAGCATGGCCCGCAAGGACGCGCCTGACGCCGATATCCCCGCCAAGGAGCTGCTCAACTGGCTGAAGGCCGAGATGCGCGAGAACAGGGACGCTCTCATGCGCGGCACGGGCAGCGGCAGTATATCTTCGGGAGCGGCCATCAAGTTCCGCGGCGGTGGCGGCAGCGGTGGCGGCGGCGGTCTCTCGTCCTTTGGCACGAACAACTCGGAGTTGAACAGCGGGTTGTTCCTAGGTGCGGACGGCGAGCGCGAGCAGGAGGTGCACGTGCTCGTGGCGCAGACAAAGAGCAAGAAGTTCAACCGCCGGCAGGTGGTGGAGCAGGCGCAGATGAGTGCGGCGAGGCTGTTGCAGAGCTTTCTGGACGGGCCGATTGCCGCGATCGAGACTTCGGATAGCGTGATGGAGATGATACGGCGGACGAGCCTGAGCGATGCGGAGAGCTGGCGCAAGGTGGAACACAATGTGGGCACGAGCGAGAAGAAATATGTCAAGGAGATTCACGATATGTTGAAGGGGTGGAGGTGGGAGTGGGAGGCCAAGAAGGGATCGGAGCACGCGTTTGTGTATAATTTCAGGACGGGGAGGTGCATCTATTACGACTTGTCGGCTTGATCGAGTCGGTCGGCAGGGTGTTGAAGCCCTGGGGAGGTACCTAGCTGGGTAGGATACGTTGGTTGGTGGTGGGTTGGATGTGTGTATTATAGGTATACAGTTGTAAGGCTATTAGGTAATCCCACCTAAAGGCATCACTGCTCTTTCAAATCGTCCGATGTTCCTCTTGCTTTTCGTCCATGGTGATCCCCTGAAACACCAACTCAACTTAAGTCAGCCTCATATACAGAACCCTAACCCTTCTGTCACAAGTGAAACGCCCAACCATCTCACTACGGGAAGAGCACCCTGCTGGCCAACAAGAGGTTCGTTCGCACACAAGAAGCCAGGAAGAAGACAGATTGCGGAGGAACTGACTATCAAGGTCCTTGCCTACTGTTACCCACCGGATTCCCGTGGTTTACGAGAAATTGGGAGCCGCTGCCAGTATGCGAACGAATCTCCTTCCCTCATGTTGGGTAACACGCTACCTATACCTACTCTTATTCACAGCAAAGTGTTGTGGATGACGGGTATATGATGCTTGGAAACAGATGCGAATGTGGATTCGATTAAGGCATCGATCTTTTGATGTCCAGTCAACCTAACAGGACAACATGAAACTGCGTCACTTTGTAGCTTCAGTGGACCGTGATCTACTTGGGGAAATTGTTAGTGCATCCTCTGAAACATCCGATAACTGCAGTTCTGACCACCACCAACATGCCCTATCACCATGCTCATTTGTCAGTGGCAAAGGAACTGTACCGTTGGGTCGTCCCGTCTTGCCTTGCGGGTAGATTGTACATGATTGTCTGGTGGTTATAGATGTACTTTCATGCCATCTGGACCGAGGACTTGCAAAAAGCCAGCTTCTTTGTCTTTCCAGTCAAACCTAACTCAAGAAGGGCTTCCCCTTCCTCAGGGAAAATAAAGAAATAAAAAAAAAAAAGAGAGAGAGAGAGCGCTGTTCTGGGAGGTTCCGCCTGCTTTGTAAAAGTTGACGGGCAATTACAATACGATAACATGGAAGGGCGGGGATTACCGCCTCCCTCCTTTGGCGATACTCCTGTCAGGTGTATTGAGTGGTCTTAGGTAGAGGTGGTAGGTATGCCGAGAGCCCGAGACCGCCATTGTGCAGCGGCGTTGACCACCATTGAAAAACGTAAGGCGAGACATGCAGTTGTTAGGATTCCTCAGTGCCTCGCTCAGCTCGGCTGCTGCACCACCATGGAAGAAGGAAGTTGGGCAATGACGGGACCATCACAAATGGCCCGGGGCCTGGGTTGCTTCGTCTTAGTAGACTTGAGAGTGCGTGCTAGAGACTGCACAACCTCTATCCGGGTCCTCGCTCCGAGGAACCTAAGGGAAGCGTGACCCTGCCATGATTCCATCGCTCACATTGTAGTAGTTCACACACCTTTTCCTGATCCGGTTGTGACGCTCGTACGCCCTTTTTCCTCCCGTCTGACCCTGCTTTCTCCTGACTCGCAACCTCTCTATTGTTCCAGATTGTCACCGCCCAGCCTTTGATTTTCAACCCACCTCCCAAAGACCACCATCGTGACAAACCGTGAACTTCTATCCCGACCGTCCGTGCTTCCATAGTCTATTCCCAGGCATTGTTTGGTTATCGTTATCATTCCATCCCTCTTTAAAAGATCAATACCCACTCCGACCTTCACCTCCGACCGTCTGACAATCTTCCCAAACACCCGCCCGCCTCTTGCCAACATCCCCTCAAACTACAAATACCACTATTCTCCTCCCGAGCCCCCGACCTTGCGCACGAGAGGAATCTTCGTCAGCATTTTACGTGTCGATCCCTTGACGAGCCACCACAACATATCTACTTCACCACCACCGCCACCACCAACGAAGTAAAGTGGGCTTTTCCAGCGGCAGCCCATTCTTTCTTTTGTCAACCTCCGCCACCGGCACCTCGCCTTCACTTCCGTAACCACATTGTGCCATGTCGTACAGGACAACAGCGTCGGGCGCTACAACGCGCCTGATGAGTGAGATGAAGACGCTACGAAAGGAGAAGTGGATTCACTTTGAAGATGTACGTTCTGACCCCGTTCGTTCTTTTCCTTTGCCGGTCTGTCTTTCGTGGGCGCAGTACCCGCACGTCGATTCTAGTATCACTATACCTCCACTACGGAACCTAGACTGACGCTCACTTCTTTGGCGTAAACAGGACGATTCTGCGACCCTCAACATCCTCAAGTGGCGCTTCGGCCTCATGGTTATCAACCCCGACAGCGCCTTTAACGGGGGGTACTTCCGGGCCGAGATGGTATTTTCGGACGAATACCCCTACCAGCCGCCCAAGTTCCGCTTCCTGATCCCCATCACCCACCCCAATGTGTATCCGGACGGCCAGCTCTGCATCTCGATCCTGCACACACCCGGCGAGGACCTAATGTCTGGCGAGCAGGCGAGCGAGCGTTGGTCGCCGCTCCAGGGCGCCGAGAGTGTGCTGAGGTCGGTTCTGTTGCTGCTGGACGACCCTGAAATCAACAGCCCCGCCAACGTGGACGCGGGCGTCATGTACCGCGACCGCCGAGAGGATTACAACAAGAAGGCCCGGGAAACGGTGGAGAGATCAAAGAAGGATATCCCGCCAGGATTCGAGATGCCGGTCAGCTTTGAGGAAAAGCCGCCTCCGAAGGCGGAGAACGACGACGACTTTTGGGCCGAGTCGGATGAGGAGTTTGACTTTGGTGGTAGTGACACCGGGGATGACGACGAGATGGAGGACTTTGAGGACGGGGAGGAAGGGAGCGAGGATGACGACGACGATTCCAACTCCAAGCAATAGACGGACTTGCTTGCTTGTTGTTTCTTCAACAGCAGCAGCAACCGTTTATATCGTTGGTGTCAAGCTGGGATGGGTTTGGTCCGGGTCAGGATGGTGATGATATACCTTTCTCTTTCTTATTCTTGTTCTTTTTCAACCCGTGATATTTGCATAGCGTCGGGGACACTCGCGGTGTGTTTGGGCGTTTTCGTGGTCTCCCAAGCAGACATATCTGGTGGGAATTTCATTGGTCGCTTTTTTACATACAGAGACACACCGTCACCCAAGTACTTGCCTATCCTTAGCCACAATGTTCTTGCACAGCGGAAGACACTGGCAAAGACGGGAAGCGGTCTGGCCTCATAGTTACATAGAATACCTTTAGCGGAAACGTCTAGACTAGAGCTATAGACTCAACTTTCGTTTTCATGGAGCGATGAGCGGATGTAGCCTCGCGATGGCATCGCTTAGTTCAGAGAGCCGAATGGCCCGTCTTGAGCCCGTGCACGATGTCAGAGCCCAAGACCTCCGTCCCTTGACACATAACAGTGAAGAAGGGCCCGGGCCCCGGGGATGTCCCCTCAGCGGCCGAGCAGTTGACCTCCGAAGCCCCTCCATCATCCCCTCATGAGATACTCATTTCTGTACAGCAAGTGAATTTTGTGAGCAGGACGAAACCGATGAGAAACCGAAGGATACCTGCCCGACGCTCCAAGATCATGCATCTCTTCTTTGGCTTTCGTTGTCATCGTCCACGTTTACCCCTAAGGTTAAAACCTAACGGAGTGCCTCAATACACTTACCTTTCCCCCATTCCCCGCAGTTTTTGCCATCAATCAAAAGCTGCCCCTGCCGCATTGTTTGTGTACCTACCGTAGGTACAGGGCTCGGGTACCTCATCAAGCAGCTCTTGCATTTCATTGTCTGACAACGTAAAGGCAAACAACATCCCGATCTGGCTTCCCATCATCTCGTTCGCCCTGTCTTCGTCCAACAGCAACAACAACAATAACAACAAAAAGTAAGAGCAGGGCTATCCTTCGCCCACTTCATCCTTTTCGCTCTTAAAGCCAGCAAAGTAGCTCGACAAACGCCAAGAAATAGTACATTCCAAACGTCTCCTGCCCCAACCCCCGGTCCCGTCTCGCAGGCCCTGCCCATCAAGGTCACCATCGCTGCCCCGCCGATCCGATATCATTAAGTCAGAGTAGCCTACGCAAACCTCAACTTACCAACTCTCTCCTACTCGCTTCGGCCATCCGATCGCCACACAATTCGCCGCCCCTCTCGGACCCAATTTACAGATTTACATAAATCGATAGGGCTTTTTGCGATCAGGATTCTTTTCTCTTCTTGACCGACGCAAGCTGCTTCCCTCCCCTCCACCCCTGTGGCCAAAGTATCTCTCGATCAGTGGCAGCCCAGCTACATCTCAACCACCTGCGGCACGCTCCGACCAGGAGCGCGAGACGCTGGGACTGTTGGCGGCACATAGTGAACGAGCGCAAGAGCCGACTACAATTCGCACGACGGTGATACGGCTAGCGGCGCAAAAGAGGAACATCGGTCACCATGGATGACTACCAGGAGAAAATCCAAATGGTGCGCGCCATCACCAATTACGGTGATGAGCCGACCATCGCAGCTGCTCTGCGAGCCAAAAGTGGTGACTTGGAAGCGGTCATCAACATGATCCTAGACGACTTGGATAAGGTTAGATTCCAGCGCACCACCCCGCGGGGATCATGTTGAGACGGAAATGGGATACTGACGCTCGGGGTACAGTTTCAGAAGACCTACGCCTGGGATGAGAGTGTGTTTAATGCGAATCGTGAAGGTGATGGAGTTACAGCTGTTTATGGGCCCAATCAGTGTAAGCTTTCTGTTTTGGTTCGACTCTTAAAACTGCTTGAATACCATGTTATAATCTTCTGCTAACAAGCTCGGGTTAGCTTTCCATATTCAGCCTCCAGACAACAACAACAACAACAACAACAACAACAACAACAACAACAACAACAACAACCCCGTTCTCTACGGATACGACCCGGGATATGATCCCACTGCTCCATCTCGGCCCCCTTCGAGGGTTGACAATCGGTCTCCGATCGGACGCGCTGTGGAAATGACTACCGGCACATATCCCTCCGGTGCCCCGACGAACCAACAGGAAGAGGACGCACAGCTACAACAAGCCCTTGCGGCTTCCATGAATCCTTCGGGCATGCACACCCCTCAGCCGAGTACCAACGGACATTCATTACCGCCGCAGTTGCCCCCTCCACCCCCACCCCAAGAATCGGGCGTCACTAGCAATGGCGCATATTTTGGTCCAGCGAATAGGACGGACTATGATCCGAATCAATGGGCCATGGTCCCCCTCAGGCTTTGCCAAACGGATCCAAGACCAGTCAGCAGAGTAAGGGCTCCCGGGAGCCCGGCTTTTTTGAGGAACCGTTCCGAAAATTCGACCAACCGACACCGTATCGGTGGAATTTTGACGATATTACACTCCATCCCCGCCGCACGGAACGCGCTGCTCCAGATAGGCGCTGCGCCGGAACACGGCTATGGAAGCAACAGTGAATGGTGGAAGGGACAGAAGATTCTTCCCCCGGAGCTCCAGGCACGTAGTGAACAAATTGACTCGGGACGGGATCAGTTGATTCCCCCGTGGTCGGACGAGCTTCATCGCTTGGTAGCATTCCTGGACTCAACAGAAAGGGCCTACGGCACGGCAGACATCTTGGCGGACTGCAGAGCTCCCGGGGTCGAAGAGCGCTGGGATAGCGAGAAGGAATTCTTCGACAGCCACTTGGAGATGCTGAAAGCTAGAAATGATGGCAGCTGGGACGATCTCACCATGTGTTATAAAAAGTCCCTATACGGCACAGCAGAAGGCTCCTCGGAAGAACATGTCAACATTCTGGACTGCGAAGGTGTCGATCTTACCACAGGCAACCTCTACGGCTGTCTCGATAAGGTATTTTGGGTGGACCGGAATACTTCAATAGAGTCACTGGATGGCGCCCCCTACAGCACCATAAGTAAGCTTCCCGAGGTACTCATTATTGGGCTTAAAGCATCACAGGGACTCCCGGCAGCTCTTGACATACCCGAGACGATATACCTTGACCGATACTTGGCATCCAATGAAGAGAAAATCAACGAACTACAAGCAGATCTTTCAAGACTTGTGTACGCATATCGCAAATGTGTGGAGGAGGAAGAAAGGTTGACAACATGGAGCAATAACCAAACGGGCAAACCTGTGGATCGTCGTACTTTGATCGCAGACAGTATTGAACGCTGCAAAGACCATATCCAACAAGTCAAAAATCGGGCATCCTGGAGAAACTTCCAAGAGTCAAGTTCCGATGTTGGCGACAATGGGAATGGTTACCAGCTTTATCTAGCGGGCGCTGATAAGGAGGCTCCGGTCTCACCGGAGGAGGCGAACGTCATCGCTTATTACGAGCGCAAGATCAAATTTCTGACAGAACAGGCAGCCAGAATCGAACAGATCATGCAAGGTAGGGTCACTGTGGCCACTCTCTAAGGCTCATTTCTTCTTCCATATGCCATCAAATGTACTGAAATGCTGACCTTCTGATTCACAGGCACTATTGCGCCACAAAAACGACGCATTTTGGACGCTTTGGACCAACATAGCAAGGTTCTCACTGTTCCTGCCCCGGACAATTCATGGGTCCCCACGGCCAAATATACTCTTCGTGGCATGACAAGCGAGCCGAACACAGTGTTCTTGCGGAAACAGGAAGTAGAGCTTATTGACCTCGACAATGGTGAGGTTCCTGCGGAACAGTGGTATAAGATTTGGTGCTATTCCGAGAACAACTATGCCGTGCAGATCGAAGTAAGTTTCTCTGCATAAGATCCATGAGACCGACAGTGATGGGCGGATCGGGCTTGCTAACGTTATATTATCAGAAAACAACCTACGAGACTGCTATCTCGCAGGCTTGCGCGGTCGGCACTGAACCTCTTCTGATTTACGCTTCGGACAAGGCAATGAAAACTGAACCAATCCCGTTGAATGACGCTCTAAAGGCCTTTATCAGGTTTGACAATAAGTTCTTCAGCCAAGAGCTGGCGCAAAATGAGCACGAACAGCACGAAGACTCCAGAAAGCGTGGACCCATTTCGATGTCGTCTCCGGACTCGAAAAGACGTAACAGGTCCAACAGTCTCGACTCAATGGCCACTAATCACGCATCAGCGGGGGACCTAGATGAGGAAATGCGTGACGAAGAGTTCATCGAATTTGCCAGCGGATCGGTGTACGGAAGCAGCGCGGAGAAGGCTACCACCAGCTCTGACCATGATATGATGGACGGTCTCCCTCCTTCCTTACGTCAGGAAGATGGCCGTGCTCCGCATCCCAATACTTTAGTCGATCTGCTCACACCACCCTATGAAGAAAAGGTAGAGAGCAAGGAAAAGGAGTCATCGAACATTGATACCTCGATGGATGCCGCATCAGAAAGGATGAGGCGGGTGTCCCTTGACGAGGACAAGATGGATGTCGAGTGGGGTCAAGCGGAAGTCGTCACCAACACCGTTAGCAGCCAGGGCAGCGGATCCAGTGCCCATACTGAGGACTCTGGTATTACCCTGAAGCCAACTAAAGGTGCCGACGATGGCACCACACCGGCGAAGAGCCCAGAGATGCAAGAGCGCAGTAACAATCCCTTTCTCGCCAGGGCACCCAACACTTCCATTGCCGCGACGACCTCAGACAGCACCCCACAGCCATATAGCCGCGCTACTATGGACTTTTAGGCAGAGGAATTAGCGCCTCAATACGAGGGGTTTGAACCAAACATTGCTTTCCCGCGTATTCACACGCGAACTAGAAAGTTGTTTGAGAATGATCGTTCAAGAGCTCGGATTGGTGGCTATGCGTCATGGACAGACTGTTCGAGCAAGAGTTCTTCTCCACCATTCGCAAAAACTAGAGACTCCAACACTGCGTACAAGCAACAGGACTTAGCACGCTCCGAGTCACACAAGCCATATGACCCGGCAATGCCCCAGACCCTGGACAAGGATCACCCCATAAACGATGGGGATCAGAAAGAGACGCCCAAGCGAAGCAGAGCGTATCCCCGGTGGAAAGTTTGCCGAGACGTGCAAGGCTGCATTCGAGCCCTGAATGCCCAAAGTCTTGAAGTCGGACTGGACGTGAAGTCGAGTCTCAGACCGAGCTGTGGCGAGAAGCAGCATCGGAGGAGTTGAGTGGATGATTGGTTCGCGAGCTTCCTCGATGGTGTCATAACTTCGAGAACACAGCGACTTTGCTTAACAATATCTGTGACACTTTAAGCAGATGAGTTTGCATAGCGGAACTCTATTCGACTCGAAGATGTTATGTTTCTATGTGACATACATCCATCACAAAACTAGTGAACAGTTTTGCGTACTTGCATGTTAAGCGATGAAGAGCAAAAGATTCGGAGGAGAATAGTAGGCAGGGTAGTGTTGTGATCAATGCAATAGGACATGATACCCTACGTGGGGCAGCCGCTTTGTGAAGAAGAACAGTAGCCAGTCCGTAAATGCTTTGTGTCAGTGTGCCGAAATGACTGCTTGAAATGACGAAAAGGCGGGCTGACTGAGAAAATCAGCGGATGTACGAACTTGTTGATCAATAGGTAATTGTGCTCCTGCATCGTCGACAAGATTGACTTGAGGCAACGAACCTTGAGATGAACCATGGTCATTATAGGCGGCTGAACTAGACAAAATCAACAGCAATAATCGGAGCTCGAATAGTGTAGTGGTTATCACGTTCGCCTCACACGCGAAAGGTCCCAGGTTCGAAACCTGGTTCGAGCAACGTTTTTGCTTCCTTTTTGGTTCGATATCTAAGGCGGCTGTCGAGCTTATGCAACTTCGGAAAGCGAAACAAACAAAGGTACGAGGTCGGAATAGGGGGGAAGTGGAGTTCCAGATGCGCTCACCTTTTTGGGCCGTTCTTGTGTAGGCGCCATAGTAGCGTATATAGCACACATGACCGTTGAGGGCTCTTGCCTGCCGCGCAAAAACCCCACCTTTAAGACCTGTCCCACTTCCGACATCATCCTTTTTCTTCCATCTTTCCATGCGGGGCGGGCGCACCCACGCAAGAGCTATGATGCTTGTCAGTGGGGTTTTGACGCTGTGAGCTGTCTGTCCCGTCCCGTCTCTCGGATTTGGCGAATTCCAGCCATCCTTCAATTCCACAAGGCGACCGATACTGTAAATCACCATCAGCTGCCGACGAATCGCGCAGATATCTCGACGTTTTTGATTGGCATCTGTATATCAACGGTCTAGTTGCGAGCAATCAGCGGTATAACTCGAACATCGCTTGGGTCGGTATCCACGATAGGAACCGATTAGTCTACAGCATCAGGGGCAGTGTCACGAACTCCACGTCGCCAACCAAATCACCCGAACCACACAACATATTTGCGCCATCATACCCGCAACAGCAATAGCCATGGCCTCAAAACAAGACGCCAAGATCCAAAAGATCATTGCGCGACTACAAAAGCGCATCGCCGAGGGCCAGTTCGAGGAGCAGTACGAGGCCGGGCAGGAGACGAGGTTGGTTGCGGCGCGGTACACAAAGGCGGAGAATTGGCCGGCCGCCATCGACATTCTGTCCAGCGTGTCGCAGGCGCTGCTGAAGGCCGGAGCGGGCGGCGCCGGTGGCGATCTCGCCATCTTGCTGGTGGACGTTTACAAGCAAGGCAAAGTCAAGCCGGATGCGGCGTCGCGCGGGCGGCTGTTGACGTGTTTGAGGCTGTTTGAGTTCGAGGAGCCGACCAGGAAGAAGTTTGTGAAGGAGGTTTTTGAGTAAGTCTTCTTTCCAACTGTAACGCGGGTTTGCACAGAAAAGAGGACAAGATATAAAGAAAATTGAAAAGGCAAGAAGAGGGACTAAATCTTTCATTTGAACAGTTGGTCTCGAAAGTTTGGCGAATACCCTGCCGGCGACCCGGAACTGCACCACGTTGTCGGCACCCTAGCCGCCGAGAAGCACGAGACGGATGAGGCCGAGAAACATTTGGTTCTAGGCACCAAGGAGTCGGCCGAGGTGCTGACGCGCATGGAGTACGAGTGGTACAAGGACAGCGAGCAACCGCACACGGCCGCCCTCTTCGCCGCCCGCGCCATCCTGCCGTATCTGCTGCTGGCTAATGTCCGCGCGGCCAACACGTCATACCGCGCTTTTGTCTCGGCGCTCACGGTCGAAAACTCGTCGCTCGGCGTGCAAAACGTGGAGAGTTCCCAGGGTAGTGATATCCGCATCTTCCCGAGCTTGCCGCTGCTGAATTTCTTGGGACTGTTGCTGCTGGCGGTGCAGAAGGGAACCCCGGATCTGTTCAGGCAGTTGAAGACGAAATATGCGAGCAATCTTGCCGAGCTGGGGGGAGCGTGGGACGGCGCGCTGGAGATGATTGCTGAGATGTACTTTGGTATTCAAAGGCCAAGGCAGTCTAACCCATTGCTGGATATGATGGGTAGCTTATTCGGCGGCGGCGGTGGCGGTGGTGGTGGTGCGGGCGCTGCTGGGGGCAGGCCGCCAGTGAGGAGGGTTGAGGCGGCGCCTACTGCTGAGGGACTGGACTGAGAAGAAAAGAAATGGTGAAGAGGGATGGGTTTCAGTAAAGAAAGGCGCAGACGTATGCCTTTGTTCTCGCTTTATGCTTTGCCCGTAGTCTACTAGGATCCTGTTAAAGGTGAAAATGGTAATCATGGGGGGGTATACGCTGGTTATGCTAAGATAATACAACAATCCAGAGGGAAAAGAAACCCAAGTAGTGTGCTGGAAGAAAGAACTCGGAGAAGGAACCAGACCCAACTACCAACCAGTCTCGTTACCATGAATGCAATCCAGTCGTGTCAACAAATGCGTGCCGCTCGTCACTCAATCATGCCTCCCCAATCAGTGCAAATGAAGTACCTCCTCCCTCTCAAACATCCAATTATCTTCCGATAACGCCGCGACCTTGGCCTTCAAGCTCGCCTTGACTGCCTCCAGGAGATCTATATTCAGTCGTCAGCCGTCTTCCTCACATGTAGCGCCCATGGCGGCGCAACTGAAGCTTGAAAAACATACCTTCAGTATCCATCCCACCTCCTCCTCCCCCACCAGCACCTTCTCCTCCCCCTCCTCCTCCAGCCCCCTCTGGCCCAACATCCCCCCTCCCCTCTGCCTCGTGCTCCGTCAACCACTCCCTCACCGCATCCGCCAACCTCTCCCTTTCCTTCTCCTGCTCCATTCGGGTCTCCATAATCGTTTCCATCTCCTCATCGTAGGGGGGCGTGGGAGGGTCGTGACCCAAGTCAATTTCTCCCGTTTCTTTGTCGCGGACGACTATTTCGAGGTTGGGGTCTGTGATGGCGTCGGTTAAGGGTTGGGGTTCTTGTGAAGAGGTCATTTTGGTGTCTTCTTCGTGGTGTTGTGGTAGTTGTTGGTGTTGTTGACTGAGAAGATCTTGGGGGTAGGGGTAGGAGTCGGAGTAGGAAGAAGGTGGTTGGGTGAGGTAAGAAGCTTGTTGGTGATGCGCTTGTGGGTGAGGTATATGTGACTGAAAGTTGCTCTGGTGGATCTGAGAGTGAGAGGTCTGAGAGGTCTGAGACTGAAAGACTTGTTGGGATTGAAAGTGTCCTTGAGACTGAGTATCTGGAACAACAGTGGGTTGTCGAGATGCCTGAGCTGGTTGTGATTGTGGCTGTTGGAACAGGTTGCGGCGGACTGATGCTCCGACTCTTGCTCCCGCTCCCGCTCCTGCTCCGGCGGAGGAAAGTCCGGTGTGTGGAGGAGGCGCAGTTCGCGAGGGAGCAGCGGGTTTGAAGTTGGGCCCGGGACGACGGTCGGCCATTTGTGTGGATGTTGTCTCTTGGTCTTGAGGTTGTAGTAAATGCGTTGGTTGGTATGACTTTTGGGTTTGGCAGTTCAGTCAAGTTAAACTGTGAATGTTATTGAGGTAGACTTCGTATACTCGAGGGAGCGATACTTCACAGACTTTGTTGCCTGACCTTCCAAGGGAGAATAACAAGTGATGTAAGGTTATGCAATTACTTGGTGAAAGTTGTAAGTGGTATGAGAGAAGACGCGGGGCATACCCCGGTCGCCGCACTGCGAGAGACGTGAAGTGGAGGAGGACAGGGTTAGGGTCTGACGCGAGCTCACGTGCTTCGATTGAAGCAACCGGGCGGCATCATCCAGTTCTCTAGTTGCCATTTGCAAGCTCGAGGATGTGTTTGAAGTTGTTCGAATGGGCTACTAATACCGGTACAGTCACTCGGGTTCGTCGATAGAAAGACGTTGTCCGCAAACGGTGCTTTGACTTGGTGGTACTAACGCAAGAGGTACCTCGTTCTATTTGCAGGGGTTAAAGAGGTGCAGTTACAGGTAATTAACGGCGCGATGTAAAAGTGGGTGCTTGTCACGTAACAAAGACGTTCGTCGCGTATAGTCGCGATTCCCATTTCATCCCATTACAATTCACATTCTCCGTCCCCTCTCTCCAACCAGACGTATTCTCTTTGGCTGTCATCATTGCTCTTCTTTTTTGTTCTTCGCCAAAGCTGACACTGAATTTTCCACAAGACAATAACCCCATGTCCTGAAAGACGTCCATCTTTGTGGATCCTATCCTAGCCGACCTCTGCCACAGGCACTCAACTTCCAAAGAGCCAGAATGGCGCCCTCAGCGTTGCCCCAGAAGCGCGCGTTTGGCGAGGCGTCAAGCGCCCGCAGCAATATTCACAATCTTCCCGCCGCTTCATCAGATTCAGCCAAGAAAAGACGCCTCGACGATGTCCCTCCCTCTTCCCGCTTCCGAACTTTCAAGAATGACGGCAAGGGCAGGATACCCTCAACCCAACCCAAGAGCGCCTTCGAGAGCGAGGTGCTTGAGCGCATGAGCCAGGATATTTCCGACCTGAAACAGAATAATTCGGAAAAGGATCAAGCTTGGGAACGCCCGCCGCTACCAGCGACCTACAACCCAGCTACAGACAGTCTCTGCTTCCAGTCCATTGAGGCTGAAGAGGGATTCCTCCACGGCGGCCAAGCGACCATTAAGCTGTTTGGTGTTACTGAGAATGGAAACTCGGTCCTCCTCCATGTCAAAGATTTCAAACACTACCTCTACGTTCAAGCCCCTGTATCGTTTGGTCCCGATGATTGTCCCAAGTACAGAGCATTCCTCGAAACGCAGCTCGCCATGCCCACACCGGCCATCCATTCGGTCACCCTGACGATGCGCGAGAACATGTACGGCTTCCAAGGCAATACACAAAACCCTTACATCAAGGTCACCGTCAACGACCCAAAGTTTCTTCCCAGAGTTCGAAGATTGATCGAAACAAACAAAGCCAACTGGAAGGGCATGTGGAAAAGCGATGGGTCTATCATGACTTTTGATGATATCCAGTATTTGCTTCGGTTCATGGTTGACTGCTCGGTATGCCACCCCCTCGCACTACCCCTGAATTCCCCAAGCTAACAAACACCAGATTGCTGGTATGTCTTGGGTGGAGGCTCCCGCAGGCAGCTATCAGCTTGTCAACGATAAACACTCCAACTGTCAGATCGAAGCCGAGATGAGCTACCGTGACCTAATAGCACACAAGCCTGTTGGCGAATGGTCCAAGATGGCACCTCTTCGAATTCTTTCCTTCGATATCGAGTGCGCTGGCCGCAAGGGCATCTTTCCCGAACCGCAACACGACTCCGTCATTCAGATCGCAAACATTGTCACAAAGTACGGAGAGAAGAAGCCATTTGTCCGTAATGTGTTCTGTCTTGACACCACTAGCCCGATCGTGGCTACCCAGATTTTGTCTTTTGACAGGGAAGAGGACATGCTCCGCGAGTGGCGCAACTTCCTGGAACAGGTCGATCCAGACATCATCATCGGTTACAATATCGCCAACTTCGATTTCCCCTACCTTCTCGACCGGGCTAAACATCTCAAAGTCAAGGATTTCGACTTTTGGTCTCGTACCAGGGTAAGATCTGTCGCAAAGGAGACAAATTTCTCTAGCAAGCAGATGGGCAACCGTGACACCAAGGCTACAAATACCAACGGACGGCTTCAGCTCGACATGCTTCAACTCGTACAACGCGACTACCAGTTGAGGAGTTACACCCTTAATTCTGTCTGCTCGCACTTCTTAGGGGAGCAAAAAGAAGACGTTCATCATTCCATGATCACAGAATTGTTCGAAGGCACACCAGAATCCAGGCGACGTCTTGCACTTTATTGCTTGAAGGACGCCTACCTGCCGCAAAGGCTGATGGACAAGCTATCATGTTTAGAAAACTACACGGAAATGGCAAGAGTCACGGGTGTGCCGTTCAACTTCCTCTTGGCCAGAGGTCAGCAAGTCAAGTTCTTGAGTCAGCTTTTCCGCAAGGCTTTGGAGCAGAAGCTGGTCATTCCCAATCTACGTCCCGAGTCCTCGGAAGAGCAGTACGAAGGTGCTACTGTCATTGAGCCTACAAGAGGCTATTACGATGTGCCAATTGCGACTCTCGATTTCGCTTCACTGTATCCCAGTATCATGCAGGCACACAACCTTTGCTACACAACACTCATCAAGAAGCGGGATATCGAGAGATGGGATTTGAAGAAGGACGAGGACTACATTGTTACTCCGAACGGAGACATGTTTGTGACGACTAAGCAGAGGAAGGGTCTTTTGGCACAGATTCTGGAGGAGTTGCTCTCTGCCAGAAAGCAAGCGAAGCGCGAGTTGGCCGTAGAGAAGGACCCATTCAAGAAGGCTGTGCTGAACGGTCGTCAGTTGGCCTTGAAGGTCAGCGCCAACTCCGTCTACGGTTTGACGGGAGCCACAAACGGCAAGCTTCCTTGCTTGGAGATCGCCAGTAGTGTCACCAGTTTCGGTCGTCAAATGATCGAAAGGACCAAAAAGGAGGTGGAGGAGCGGTATACCATTGCTAATGGCTACTCTCACGATGCTCAGGTCATCTACGGTGATACCGATTCCGTCATGGTCAAGTTTGGAACCAAGGATCTTGCTGAGGCCATGAAGCTCGGCCAAGATGCCTCCGAATATGTCTCGGGCAAGTTCATCAAGCCCATCAAGTTGGAGTTCGAAAAGGTCTATTTCCCGTACCTTCTCATCAACAAAAAGCGTTATGCGGGTCTGTACTGGACCAAGCCTGAGAAGTACGATAAGATGGACACCAAGGGTATCGAGACGGTTCGTCGTGACAACTGCTTGCTAGTTCAGACAGTTATCGAGAAGGTTCTTAGGATGATCCTTATCGACCAAGACGTCCCTGGAGCCCAAGCGTAAGAGTTTGCCATATTTATCCCTTTTGCCATTGCCAACATCGCGCTAATTTACTACCCCCAGATATGTCAAAGACACCATCGCCGACCTCCTGCAAAACAAGATCGACATGTCTAAGCTCGTCATCACCAAGGCCCTGACCAAAGAGAACTACGATGCCAAGCAAGCCCACGTCGAGCTCGCGCAGCGCATGAAGAAGCGCGATGCCGGTTCTGCCCCGGGGCTCGGCGACCGCGTCGCCTACGTCATGGTAAAAGGCGCCACGGGCTCCAAGAACTTTGAGCGCTCCGAGGACCC